CGGTGCCTGCTCCATGCACCGTGGTGCTGGTAGCATCCAGGCTTCTCCAGATTGCAAGTCGTGCCGCAGCCATCCCAGGTTAACGATGCTGCTCCGGGGCATGAAGACAACCCACTCCTTCTTGTCCCCCCACACTTGGATGGTGTCAGTGGGCTGCAACAGGGAGAAGCCCCATGAGGCTGACGTGGCTACCAGTTTGCAGCCAGTCTCAGTCTTTGCTGGCTGAGACCCTCTGTGGTCCCTCAGCTGAAAAAGAGTATTAATATAATGCCTTATTCTCCTCTTCCTCCGCGTGCTTTTGCCAGGTGGTGGAGAAGGTTAGGCAGATCTCTGACGAGAACCAGCAAAGTCAGGAGAGAGAGAAGGTTCTGCAGGAGGAATTGAGCTCCAGGCTCGTGAAGGAAAAGGAGGCATCTGTGAGTGTCGAGGTGTTCAAGAAATCCCTGCGGGAGCTCCAGGTCAGTCCCTTAGATACTGATGGCCAACTGGCAGCCAGGAGATAAGTGGCACAGGGCATTTTCTTGGCCGGAGGATAGGTTGGAAAAAAGGGGTGCTTGTGCATTGGTGCTAGCCAGCACGCAGCTCTCCGGATCGGCGAGAAGCGAGCGTAGCCCCCAGAAGTGCAGGTTGGAAAGAAATAGGAGGTGTCTCAGGGATGCATCCTCCCCTGGGCCTGCCAGGAGCCCCTCCCGGCAAAGCTGCCGACCCGTGCAGTGTCGTGCCAAAGCGTTCATGTGGTTGTCCCCAGGACTTTTTCGGAGATGTTGTGTTAATGCCGAGTCCCAGAAGCCCACCAGCTGCGGAGGCTGGCATGTTCATGGGCTGTTTTTTTTTCCAGACTTGCCTGAGGAGCTCTGGCAGCAGTGACAGCCTGCGAGGGGAGCTGGGGCGGCTGGAGGCAGCGTGCCTGGACCCCTCCATCTCGGACATCAGGGCGGCAGTGGTAGAAATGGCACGTGTCCCCCTGTCCTGGCTGGAGGGCACAGAGCAGCTTCTGGCCAGCTCAGGGATGGACCCACATGCCTCTGGAAAAGGTCCGTGTCCCACTGGGTGTCCCTGGGAACAAACCTGCTCCAGGGGGGATGTCCTAGCAAGCCGGCCGTAGAGAAGAAAGCCCAGCATGAGCCACCGCTTTAGGAATGCCAGGCTCTCACGTTGGTGCAAGTCCCAGGCGGTTTGGGCATCTAAGAAACCTGCTCAGGCAGCGTGTGTGCTCCTCACTCCCTGCCTCTGTGGCACCAGTCACCCTGCATAGCCCGTGCCAGCCGTAGGGCTCCAGGGGCTTTGTCTGTGGGATGCGATATCTGCTGGCATCATGGTTACTCAGTCAAAGTGGGCTTTGCCTTGGTGGCACGTAGGAAATGTTCCTTGGCCACGACTGTGGCCATGGTGCAGGCTGAGATCCAAACCTCAAGATTGCAAATTGCTTTGTCCTCCCTTTCCGATGCCACCTCTGCTGCAGAGTGGCAGAGCAGTTGCTGTGTGGAGTTTGCCCAGGCAGCAAGTTTGGGGCAAGAGTGGGTGGAAAACGCAGTGTTAGGTCTGTGCCAAAGCATCGCATGCTGCCAAGTGTCACGGCGGAGGAGCGATGGCTCTGATGGCAGTGTGGGAAGGGGAGCGCGGCTCTCATGGCAGCACCAAGCCTTCCACAGGGGTGCGGGATGTGGAGCGGAGTGGTGAGGGCGCAAGAGGAGCTGCAAGGCCCCTGGGGTTGGTAGGATGGGTAATGATAGCACCAGGAGGATCATGTAGCAACGAGCCGTCCTGGGCTCTTGCAGAATTGTCGGGCTTGGAGAAGATGTGGTGATGCAGCAAAACGGGTGACAGTGGGCGATAAGGAAAAAAAAAACCAATCTGCTGGTGGGAGCAGGCAGCTGGGTGGTGTGCGCAGTCAAGCTCCCTTCCAGCGATGTCTCAGCCATAGCAGCGATCTCCTGGGGGTGGGAATGTGCCGCAGTTCCAGTAAGTGCGGAGGGGAGACCCTCAGCCAGCGCCTAGGAGCCTTTCCGAGGGGATCTCTAAGCCTGAATCCCATAGCCAGAGGCTAATGAGGGTCTCCAGGCTAGCGAGGTGCCAGGGCGCAAGGCAGAACTGTTGCCCAGGAGTCTCTTCTTCGCCGACGCTGGCACACCCGCAGCCCCAGCCCGGGAGGGAAGCCCACATTGAGTGTGATTTCTGGGTACCCCAACAAGGGCGGGGAGAGGGACTGGTGCAGGAAGTTGGTGGTGGTCCCTTCTCCTCCCCGCTACCTGTGGAGGAGCATGGACCCCCACCATCAGGTGAGGAGGGGGGCAAAGGCCAGAGCTGAAGGCCAGCGGTGGCCAAAGCAAGTTTTGCAAGGGGGCAAGCGGCGTCGCCAGGGCTCTGAGGATGCCGCGGGTGGCGTACGTGGGCTGCATGCGTGCCCCGCACAGCGAGGCCCTGCTGGCTTTCGCAGGGTTGTTGGCTGCTCTCGGGAGATGGCTGGAAAACAGTCAGGAAATGGCACAGAGGAATCGGATGCTACAGGTACAGAAACTGCGTGGATTGGGGATCTTTATCGGTAAACACGATGGGCATCCTAAGGGAGCCAGTGGGGGACCCAGATGGGGAACGTATGGTAGCAGAGGTCCCTGGCTCTGCAGTAAATGCAGGGGAATGGAGAAGATGGAGCTCACCGTCAGCGTGTCAGTGTCCGTGTCCCTCACGTGGCAAGGACGGAGGGTACCCTCGAATTGTTCATTAGTGGGTGTATACAGGATGCTGATTTCTTGCCCTGCTGCCATCGTGCTTCCTTTAACACCCCGGTACCTGCTGGTTCCCCGTAGGCTGAATTGGAGAGGGTCCGGGAGTCGCAGGCAGCTTTGCTGCAGGAGCGCGTGAAGGAGCTGGAAGCGAAACACGAGCAAGACCTGCAGATAAAAATCCAGCACATTATACTGGAAAAGGACAAGGAGAACAAAGAGGTACGGTGGCATGGTTGTTTTTTAAGGAAATGACTGTTGTACAGTGAAAATAGGTGTCTGTAATGGTATTGCCTAGTGAGAGGAAGAAGTCTCTAGCCCCGAACTGTCTAGGTGCAGTCCTAACAGCCTGGGTTTTGGATATCCTCCTGTATTGATGTGGGCAACTCCCCAAAGTATCCAGGGTGGAAGTGGGAGGTGCCTGGGTAATGGCTGCTGCCGGTCCATCCCTGGGGGAAGCGGAAAGCAAGGAGCATCACCCCATGCGTGAGCTTAGGAAGCCAGTGCGTTGCCTGTAGTAAATGGAACGCAAGCATGGATAGGCTTCCGTGCAAGCCTTGTTCTCCCTCCCTGACCCCCCTGAGCTCCTTTTAGGTGGGTTTTGGCTGGAGAAGTATAACCCCTGGGGAGCGGGGGGTGGGGGGGTGGCCTGGCTGGTTCTCGCCGGGCCGCCTTTAGTCCTGGGGATGGCCGGGTCATTGAGCCGATGGTGCTGGCGTGGGACATGGTCTTAGTAAAGGTGGGAATTGGTGTTGTACTGTGTCTGTATGTTGTGACAGGGACAGCATATCATGGTGGTCTCATGAGACTGTTTGTAGTGGCTTCTGCCTCTGTCGCTTTGGGAATGTTTGTTTCCCAGCACCGAGTTTTCCTAGGAGGCAGGCGGGGAGCAGCCCAGCGGCTCCTCCTTGGTCTCTCAGCTGTGCCTTTCCCCAGGCGCTCTGGTCCCCTCCCTCACTGAGTCACCTCGTGTCCTGCCAAGGTTCTCCCATAACGTGCCTCCGCTCCAGAGCAGGGACACTTCCAGTTGCTTTCCTCCTTGGAGTTGAGGTGTTTTGGCTTAATGGTTTGATTTTGTTTGGTACTGAGTCTGTGGACTGTCAATTCTCAGATTCTGGAGAGCGCTGTTGCCGAGGAGAAGGACAAGTGTGAGCGATCTGTGGAGGAAGGAAGGAAGAAGATCCAAGACCTGGAGAGCCGCCTGCAAAGCATGACTGAGGTCAGTGGCACGCATGGGAGGTGAAGCATAACTGCTCACGCTTGGGGTAACAAAATCCAAAGGTTCTCTGTCACGGGGAGGTCCATGTGGTCAGGGGCCATCAGTGGAATGTGGGTGGGTTTTCCCCTCCAAACGCAAGTAGATGTGTATCTGTGGAGGGAAAGGTGGATTCTTGCAAGCTTGTTAACTTGATTACTGCTGCTTTCCTCATGTAGGCAATAGCAAGGAAGTCACGGGAGCAGGAGGTTACAGACTGCAAACTGCGAGAAGCTATGCACGAGCTGGAGGAAGCCGCAGCGCGAGAGGTAGTTGCCTCAACCCTTGTCTGCAGGCAGAGGACATGGTGTAGATGTGGTTTTGGTGAAGGCAGCTTCCCCGGTCCCTGCTGATGGGGGAGAAGGGCGCTGCAGCCTCCTCCCTTCCTAAAATCCTTCCCTTTCCCTCTGTCCCTCCAACTGCTAGCCAGGAGAGACAACGCTGATTGGGATCCTAAAGGAAAATGCATCCAATGCTTCCAACCAATGCTTCCACCTTGTTTCCTAGGTGGTATTACAGCAGCGGGTACTCACGCAAGACGAGCAGCTCCAAACCGTGCAGGAGGAGAATGAATTGCAGAGGCAGAAACTGCAGCAAGAAATAGTGGAATATAAGGAGCAAAGCAAGCAGCATTCTCTGACGATTGTGGCTTTGGAGGGGAGCTTGCTGGAGGCCAAGCAGCAGCAGAAGATGCTGGAGGAGGAAAATGCAGTGCTGGTGGAAAAAATGGAAGGTAGCTAAGGGTTGCATGGGATGAGTCCGGACTGGGAACCTATTCTGTGCATATCTAATATATACAGAAATGCGGAGTAGTGCATTTGCTGTTACGGGAGGCATCATGTAAGATGCTGGTTTGAGGTTTGCCTGCCTGCGGGAGGAGCTCCACGTGTCCCCAAAGAAGCTGTTTCACAGGGCGTTGCACTAGATTGTTGGGTGGCTTTGGGGACTGTTGGTAACGTGCCCCAGTCACAGGCAGGGCTTTCCCACTGGAGAAGGGCTCTTTGCTCTTTAAAGCGACGAGGCTGGGGCACTTGGGGCTGCACCTGGGCATAAGTGATCCTGTGCAAGGAAGGATGTAAGGAACTGTCTAAACACTGTTGGAACTAGGCCCTAGAAGGCGTGGGGTTCCAAAAAAGATGGTCCTGGGCCTTCCAAGTTGTCGTGAAGGAAAGGTTACACGTAGCAGAAGCAAGCAGGCCAAATGTATGTGCATTACAAAGAAGTGATTGGCCTTTGTTGTTGTTGTATTTTGTAGGGTCTCGGGATGATGGCCACAAGGCAACACCGGGAGCTTGGCTGGAGGTGTCTCCTGCTGCAGAGTCGCACAGTTGTCTGAGGTAAGCGGCGCTTGCTGCTGGTGGTCTTGTTCGGAGGGGCTGGGAGAAGAGCAGATATCGCTAGGAGAGATTGAGGAAGACGCAGGAGCTGACTGCAACTTGTCCTGAGATTGATTTTGTCCATGATGGTGATGAAAAGAGTCCTTTTGCTAGGCTGAGACAGTCGTAAGTGCATAATAGCATCAAAGCGATGCCGAAGAGCATGTGAGTGAGCTGCTGTCCCGTCCAGACAGCTCCAGGTAAGAGAGGGTGAGCTGGCAAGGCCCAGTGCCATGGACGTGAAACTGGAGGGATGAAAGGTGGTTTAGAAAGTAACATGTATGTTATTAACGGACATCAATATGAGTGTATTAATCATGAGGTGCCTCTCAGGAAGGCGTGCGCAGGCCCTGTGAAATGGGTCTTCCAAACGCACCATGAGATTTGCAATTATCTTTCTCAGGAAATTGAGGGAGGAGCTGGCAGCGGCGCAGAGTGTGCTCCTGTCCAAGGAGGCTATCATCGCCGGACTAAGCAGAGAGCTCGCCCAAATCCGAGCCACGATGTCAGACATGAGAGGTGGGTGAAGCATACTGCGTGGTTTCCGTCTTCCCATCCCTCTTCCAAGCAGTGACGAGGGTAGGTACCAGTGGGCACATGCCAAGAATGGGAAATAGATGTCAACGTCCTAAAGCAATGCTGTTGGCCTGCACGGGGCAAAGTAGGTGGCCGGTTCCCTTTGAGTATGGAATTCCTATGGTATGGAATGGGTTTGGGAATTTGGCCTTGTCCTTAGCTAAGTGCCAGCAGGGATGGTGAGTGAGGGTACCTGGGTGGAGACTGGGTGGACAAAGCTGAGTCCATCCTGCTCAAAATTCCACTGGTGGGCTTCTTTGAGCCTAAGGTATCCTAAGTCAGTAGCCTGGGAGAGCCCTGCCTGGAAGCCTCAGTGGGCAGGGCCGGGTTTTGGGGAGCCTGAGCCTGGAAACAGCGGGATGCGTGGCTTGCTCTCGCTGCCTGTGCAGTGCAGAAGTAGGGAGAGTGCCTACGAGGAAGGTGGGAAGGTAGAAGTCTGGAAGCCGGGATGTGATGGCGACCCCATTCCGCTCCAAAATGAAGGAAAATAGCCATAGCGAGTGGTTAGTTTGGTGCCTGCCCACACAAAGAGACTGGTTTTGTGCTGAGGTTTTGTAAAGCAAGGTCTGTTGGCATGGCCCAGGATGCAAGGGCTGCCATGGAGGGCAGGGCGAGGGGCTGTGGGGACAAGCTCTGTTATTGCTGATGGCCCCCACGTGGGTGCACTGGGAAAAGGGGATGCGTCTGAGAACTGCGGATCCCCCAGGGCTGGGCGATGAAAACAGCCAGGAACCCACGAAGCTGCCATGTGCCTAGGGGAACTGAGCGAGGAGCAGAAGGTGGAACTGGAGCGGAAACGAAGCCAGGTGAAATGCCAAGAGCAGGAACTGAACCTGCTCAGGGAGAAGCTATCCCAGGTGTCCAGCCTCGCGGAGGAGAAGGATCGAGCCCTGAAAGCAGCAGCTGAAGAGTTAAGGTACACACTGCCGTGACCTGAGGCTTTGCAGAAGCTGCTCTGTAGATTCTCAGCAGCTGATGGCATTTAGGGAGCAAAAGGCAACTTTGAGAGTGTCGGAATTGAGCTCAGCAGCATTGTCTCTGTGGAAGTGCCCCATTACCAACACGGGGGTTTGCTGGAGCTCATGGCAGTGGACGTGTCGCTAAGTCACTTGTAACTGAGAGAATGTGGCCGCCCACGCTGTGGTAGTCATTGGTGGGTGCCCAGGGTGCTGCTCTCCACAAGCTGTTTGGGTGACCTTCATCGGTCGTGGTGTCCCACAAGTGGTCTTGTCTCTTGGCACAGGCAAGCCCAAGCCCACTGCCAGGCGCCAGAGGGTGCCTCCCGAGAAAGGGTGGAAAAGCCGGAGGATGCTCCTGGGACACCAGCGCAGGCGGGTGAAGCCTCCGAGAGGGTGAGTCTGCCCGGAGGCTGCTGGCGTCTGGGTTTGCCAAGCGTATCGATCACACACACGGTGTTTCTCGGCACTGAGGTGAGACCTTACAGCACGTTGGACCCGCTAAGTGTTGTGTGTGCTAATGGCTGCGATAATTGCCAGTTAGAGGGGATAGCGGCGTACCGAAAGGATCTGCAAAGCGTTCCCTCCTTTTCCCAGCCTCGCTCAGCCGTAGATGCTGGCTGTGTTGGTGACACAGCAGCAGTTACAGGGTAGAATGTGCAGGATTCGGGGTAGCGTGTTGCACAGGACGGGAAGAGACACTCCTTGGCCTCCTGTGCTGAATTCCTCAGTGACGTGCCCGATGCTAGAAATGGGAAGAACTCAAAGGTGGTTGCAGCAGCAGATGGAGGGACTGTAGGAATCGTACATCCCGTACCACCACAGCGGCAGACGGCGAGGCGGGGGGGGCAAGTGGTGACTCACAGCCAGATGACGAGCGGGAGGCATCGCCCCCGTCCCGTTCCGCACTGAGGGGAGGGGAAGTGCTGGAGGCGCAGGCCAGCCAAAGCCGTGGTTCAGGAGCAAACCGCATCTCACCAAGCGGTGCCGCGGGGCAACGGCAGACAGACCCAAGCGGGCAGTTTGTGGCCAACAGTAGCTGTGTGCAGGGCACGACGATGGGCCTGCCCCGTCCCAGATTCTTGGCTCTTCGCCATAATGCAGCACGCTGGATGGGCTGAAAGGGGGAAACGCGGGTGTAGTTGCAAAGAGGATAACGGGGGAGATCGCGTGCAAATGCAGGCCTCAAAGCGTATCAGTACTTGTGCGTAGGAAACAGCAAATGCTCTGCAATAGCCCAAAGTGCAAGAGCAAATTGTGGATGTGGAGGTTCGGAGCCGTGTGCCATCCCTCTCCCAGCCCTCTGGAGCATTTGCAGGGCTGATGTCCTCTCTGCCATTCTATCCCACGAATCCATGGAGAGGGCGTAGGGTGAGGTACTCCACGGGCTTTGCTCTTGCCACGTGCCAAGCGACCAGTGTCTTTCAGCAAGGCCGTGCATAAGCCAGGCTTAGGCTGAGCTCGCGTTGAGCCGGGTGCAGTCTGGGCGAGAACTGGTGGAGTTGCTTCTTCCAGGAGCCAGCGTTGGACTTGGCCACGCTCGGGGCGAAATGCCGAGGCCTCAGGCACGAGGAAACGATCCAGCGCCAGAAGGAAGGCTTAGCTGAGCTCCGGGAGCAAATAAAGATGCTGGAGAAGAGGCGGCCCTCAGGTAAGCGTGGCTGTCGCTAGGAAGGGGAGATTGCCCGTGTGCCTTTGGCAGGCCCCGGGGTCTGTGCTGGTGGAGCACGTAACGCTGGGGAAGGCACAACGGGCTGTGCCGGGGGCTTGGGCTTCTCCCTGGCCAAGTCAGCTCTCGTGTGCAGGCATGGTAACCCGTGCAGGTGCTAGGAAAACTCCTCTGAGGCAGCCGCGGCGTGGCTGCGGGCTTTAGGAAGACACTTGGTGTTATTCGCAGGTATCGAGTGGTGGTAAGGGTATGGGTGAGAGGAGGCGGCATTTGCAGGAGCCAGCAAAGAGAGGCCAAGGGGTTTGCAGCCGTAGCTGCCGTGCAGTCAGAGCCAGAAGCGAGCACGCACCCGGCTCTGCACGATCGCTCCCACGTGCTGCTCTCGTCAAGGAACCAAGCCTTGGGTGCTGTGGTCTTGCAAAGCCTTGCAAGTACCATAGGCTGTGAGAATCCTCTGCTTGCCCTAACTCAGTCTCTTTTGGTCCTTTTCCATCGCGTATATCCCTGTATCAAGAGCAGGATGGAAAAGCAATGCCCCCTCTGCTAGCAGCTACAAGCAGAGGAGCAGTTTGAGGTGCAGTCTCTTAACAGCCACCTGGAAAAGCGGGTTTGCATCCTATTTATGCAGGGAAGGCAATGCCCAAAAGCTCGGATAACCCTCGGATAGCGATCTGTCTGCAGGGCAGGCTGGGGCAGGCTTAACTCCACAGCCTGTGCGCCTCTCCATGCACGGCCTCCATAAGGGGCAACCTGGCGAGCCTCAAAGTGTCTGTGGTGTGAAGCCACAGCATGTCTCACGGAGAGGGTGACAACATGCTGGGTGTTCATTTGCCTCCAGCTGTTGTGAACGAAGGTTCAGAGCCGCTGGTAGTCCTGGTGAAAGACCTACCAGAGAAAATAGTCCAGAAGAGAAGTCTTGAGAAGGATCCTGCACCCGTGTCAGGAGCCAAACTGAAGGCCAGCAAGGTAAGAAGGCAGTTTTGCGGTCTGTGGTGCTCGTGGCTTCTTTGGAAAAGTATTCCATGGAACAGGGAGAAATAGGCATTCAGATAGAACAACTGAAACGCTGCGGGGAGAGGGAGGGAGGGAGGTGTAAGGTCTGGCAGCGTGCAAGGTGCAGCCTAATGGAAGGCGCTGCTTGCAGGGGTGCCACAGGCTGGCTGGGGAGGGAGGCTCTGGACCACGGCGTTGCCAGGGTGGCGTTCCCGTGCAGCAGAAGGCAGGCTCGAGGCAGCTCAAGCCAAAGCCAGGTGATCTGTGGGCTCCATTGGTCTTTCCTTGTCTGCGCAGGTTCCTGGCCATGTTCTGAACGGGGGCTTGCCCGGGGCCACTGATGGGGCAGTGAACTCAGAGATGGCCGACGCAATGGACCTCGGCGAGGAGATGGTACATCAGCGATAGACCCGTTAAAATAGTACCTAGTGCTAGTAGAGGGGAGGTCAATTTTGAACATGTCACAGAAGTGATTGGCATTAGGGCTGAGCAGGAACATGATTGAGGATGAGCCGCGTGTTGCGGGATCCAGGGCGCACTCGGCATCTGCCGGGACGTCTCGGGACCCCAGAATCTGCAATGGCGCATCCTTCTCCCCTTCCCACTGAAGGTCTTTAGGGGTGTTCCCTTGGGCAGTCAGGGCTGATCCGCAAGGAGAGGTAGGGTCAGTGAGGACAGAGACCTTCACCAACTTCTGCGCTTGCTATGTGATTGGCAAGCACTGGAAGGGGCTGCCCAGGGGAGGGGTTGAGGCCCCATCCCCGGGATATTTAAAAGCCGGGCAGACGAGGTGCTTAGGGCCAGGGTTTAGTGGTGGGATGGCAGGGTTAGGGGAACGGTTGGGCTTGATGAGCTTAGAGGTCTTTACCAACCTAAATGAATCTATGATGGGCAAGAGGCTGCGGAGCAATGGAGGTGGCTGCCGGAGGGAGGTGTCTGTTGGTAGCACAGCGGGCGGGTTGTGAAAGTGGGTCTCCTCCTTCCGAAAAGGGCAGGAAAAACATCCAGCAGGGGAAAATGGGTCCTCCTGAAAACAGCAAAATCCAACCAGCCCAAAGAGTCGCGGGGCTGGGAATTGAAGGGCAGGTGTGGAAGGGGCTGGCCCAGAGCCGGGACACACAATGTCACCTCTCCGAGTGCCTCCACGTGTGCAGCCCAAAGGCACGAATGAACCACAGCCAGCCATATTTTGAGGAGCGCTCTGAAAAGCTCACCCAGGGAAAGCATGGGTGGAAGCGATGGGAAGGGGAAGGCGTGCGGCCGTCTCCTCACGCCGCTTTCATCCCCCCAGTAGAGCAGAGTGAAAGCAGATGGCTGAGCGTCGCGATGGTATGTGGTAGAGGAGATGGCGGGTTTAGTAAATAATGCATTCCTGATGCTTCCTACAGTACCTTGACGTAATTGGTGCTCTGGGAGGCCTGATGAAGGTGGATGAGCTGTCAGAAATGCGGTCGCTGAGGCACCTTCCTCGGGAGGAGAGGGAAAAAGCAGCACTGCGGAGACGGAAGGACCTGGAGCTGCTGTACGATAAGATCAGGAGCCTCAAGAGCCGCCTGGAAAGAAAAGAAGAGATGCTGAAAGATTACGAGGCCAGCGTGGAACAGCTCAGGTACCGAGAGGCAAGGTGGCCATTGCTGCCTGCGGGTCCGAGTGAGACCGCGTCCTGGGATGCAAAGTGATGGGGAAAGGAGCGGTACGTCCCCGTGCTGGGCTGTGCTTCTGCCTGGCACCGGTCGTGGTGTGGCCCTGGTATAACAAAAAAGCATCAGAGGAAATGGAGAAACAACCTCTCGTTTCTCTGCAGCGGTGCTTTGCAGAGCCTTACGCAGTTGAGCAGCGTCAGGGTCAGGGAAACCTTGGTGGGCTCCCCAGTGAGGGGCGGCCGGACCCTGTGACAGCGGTGGCATCAGCTGCGGTGGAGGGGGGGCGGTGTCAGCAGGGCCAAGGCAAGGAGCTGAAGGGAAGGGCTGTCCAGAGCAGAGGTGATGCTCCGGCCCCATGAGCTGCTGTGCAAGGGGAAGCGTTAGGGAGTGCAGAGGAAGCCATGGGCACACTTGTGCAAGCCCTGCTACTGCTCGCTGCACAAAGGCAGAAGTCTTTCTGGCCACAGCACCGGAAAAAAGCGGTGTAGAAAGATATTTCTGGGCTGGCGTAAACTTGCCGCCGTTGGCTAAGCAGGCGAGAGAGGGGAGATCGCAATCTCCAAGCCAGCGGTGCTGATGCAGTCTCTCAGAGTCCCTCTCCAGGCTTGTACGCAGAACAGAAGGGACCGCAGCCATCGCCACCATTGGGTGGGGTGGGATGGGATGGCTGGGGGGTGAGGTGGGGGAAGCCTCGAAGAGGTGGCATCTTGGGCTCAGCAAAGGCAGGAGGAGAGGGGGTTGTCCCACAGTGTAGAGAACAGGAGCAGGGAAAGCGCTTGCTAAAAGACGGTCCTGGCAAGGCGGTAGCCACTCTGATGTCCTTGTGTGTCACCCTGTGGTGTGGGGGGTCCTAGGAGGGACGCAAGTGCCATAGGGTGTTGCCCAAAAGCTGTATCTCCCAGGCAGAGCCCAGCAGGGGGTTGAAGGGGTCGATGGGGCTGACAGATGCCCCCGCTCCTGTTTCACCCAGGCTGAACCAAGCATCCCTACGAAGGTGCCAGGCGGAGATGTCCAAGCTAGAAGATGAAGCATACAGGGAGGCAGAAGAGAAGGCTCTGCTGAAAGAGGCTCTGGAGAGGACACAGCTCCAGCTGAGCCAGGAGAAGAGGCTGCTGCGAGCAGCCAAACTGCACAAGGTGAGAATGCAGGAGCAGGCGAGCAAGACCCATGAAGACACAGGGAGCCCCGGGAGCCAAACGTCCCCGTGCCCAAGCATTCAAAGGCAGGTCACGGTGGTCAGCAAGCACCTCCGAGCTGAGCGAGGTGCTGCAAGCTGTGTGTGCCCCCATGGTAGGGGAAGGCACAAGGGATGCACGGCACAGCCGGAGGAGCACTCCACCCTTGGTAAGATGCCCCAGGCAAGTCCTGCAGGTAGAAGGCAGGTGACTCCTGGTATTATCCAGAGCCTTGCGGAGGATGAGGCAAAGGAGCCTCCAGGCTGTGCCCTCCTCCGGGAGGCAGAGTGGGGAAGCTGGGCTGCATCAGGAGAAGCGTGGCCAGCAGGTCAAGGGAGGTGATTCTGCTCTGGTGAGACCTCACCTAGAGTACTGCATCCAGCTCTGGAGCCCTCAGCACAAGAAGGACATGGAACTGTTGGAGCGGGGCCAGAGGAGGGCTACTAAAATGATCCGAGGGCTGGAGCACCTCTCCTATGAGGACAGGCTGATGGGGATGTTCAGCCTGGAGAAAAGAAGGCTGCAGGGAGACCTAATTATGGCCTTTCAGTACCTAAAGGGGGCCTATAGGAAAGATGGGGAAAATCTTTTTAGTAGGGCCAGCTGTGTCAGGACAAGGGGGGATGGATTTAAACTAAAACAGGGTAGGTTTAGACTAGATATAAGGAAGCAATTCTTTACAATGAGGGTGGTGAAACACTGGATGACGCCCTCCGCTCACTCAGTTGCACGCGCGACAGAGGTGAGGCAAGCGAGCTGGCCACTGACAGAGAGAGCGTCTCCCCTTGTGGGCACAGGCGCATGATTTTGCTCTCTCCAAGATGCCCACTCAGGAGGCGTGGCAATGAAGAGCAGGGCTTGTGGTGAGAGACCCCCAGGGCATCAGGGGGCTGGAAGTGGCAAGAGCGTTGTTGGCTTGGGGGATGCCTCTCTTGCATGGGGCACCTCCATGGTGCGCTTGCTGCAGCCGGAATGGCCAAGGAGCCCAGCGTGGAGTCTCGACAGAAACTGAGAGCCCTGTGTAACGCACTTATGTAGCTTTTGTGATCAGCTGGAACATGGGGTGGGTCTGGGGACGTGTTTTGGCTGTCAAGTACCACGGTGGCTGTGCCCTTCTGCAGCAGCAGTGGGGCAGACAGCAGGCAACAAGCCGGGAGCTCGGTGCGATACCCCACTCCTGCATTTCATGCAACAGCCAGCTCCCGCTGTCAGGGACCCGGGATTTTGCAGTGTGCCTGGTCACCCCAAGAAGTTGGGCTCAGGTTTGGGCCACGCAGGGTGAGGGAGAAGGGAAGGTCATGCGCATCCCACAGGAGGTGTGAGGGCCATGCCAAGCTCTTGCGGGCGAGCGTGTCGTTCAATGTGTCTCTCTTCTGCAGCCTGGAGCCAGGAAGCCATCCTGCTTGGGAAAGCTGAAGGCCAAAGAGCACACGGTAGAAGCCACCCAGATGGGAAGCACGTAGGAGAAGGCACGGCTTGGGCCTTTGGTAGACAAAGGTCTGCAGTAGGAATGGGTCATTGCACCGTGGACTCTGACGTTGGGCAGGGTACGAGGCTGTTGGGAGCCTGTAGCTCCTTAGGCGTGCTGGTGTGACTGTACGGCATGCAAGACCTTGCTTTCCCACCATACGCGTCCCATACAGCATGGTGGCATTCATGGCAATAGAAAAGGTGGTGTGCATACAGCCCGATGTGTGCGTATATATACGTATGTGCGAATACAGGCCAGTGTATGCAGTGTACATGTGAAGTCCATTATGTGGGGTCTGTCCTGTCCCTGCTGAGGTGGCCTGGAGCACACAGAACCTGCATGGCTTGAATCACAAGTCTCGTGTCCTCTGGTCCCCGTGCAGTCATGGGGGAGTTGGAGCATAAGGCACGAGGCAGTATGGAGACGCAGCACCCCTGGAACGCCAGAGCGCAGCATTGCCCGGAGCCGTGGCGAGCCGCCATGCCGGGAAAGGAGGAAGAGGAGCTGCGCCGGTGTGTTACAGCAGCAGCGCGAGAAGGAGCCCGGGGTGACGAGAGCAAAGTCCCGGTCAGTTGGGATGGGGCAATGGCATGGGCTCACCCACCCGTGGGTGCCATCAGGTGTGGTCCTGTCTCTGTTAGCAAGGGTGAGAGCAGGGCCTGGTTTCTGGGGAGCAGCGGCTTTTTGGGGAGGCGGGTGTCTCTGCGGGGAACAGGCATCTCCCGCGCCTGTCGCCCCTGCAGCCGCTCTGCCTTGGTATCGCTCGGAGCGGTCTGGGCCGAGTCCCCCGCGGATCTCTTCAGCCGGGGGTAATGTGGGTGCGAGCAAAGCCTCGGGGGGTTTTGCGGGGGGGTGTTAGTAGGAGGAAAAGGGTCTAAAAGCAGCACAGAGGGGCCGTGGCGTGCAGGCAGGCAGAGCCTCCCCGGGGCTGCCGGGCACCCAGGGGCGCGCGATGTCCAAGGCCTAATTTCTGGTGGGGACAGTGCGGGGAGCGGCTGTGCTGCAGGGCGCTGGTTATGGTCGCAGCCGGGTTTTCCCCCTAGATGTGCCGTGGGCTTCCACCTGCGTGCTGCCCCGGGCTGCTTTTGGGGCGAGGTAGCCCCGCCTAAGGGGAACAGCGTGCCGGGGGCCCCTTGGCGGGTTTATCCGGGGGTTCGGGCTGGATGCCTGACC